TGAATATGCAACCCTAGACAAAATTCTGCAGCCATTTAGAGGAAGATGCATTTTCAGACAGTATATACCGAATAAGCCGGCAAAATATGGCATAAAGATCTTTGCATTAGTAGATGCAAGGATTCTTTACACAACGAAGATTGAAATATACGTGGGAAAACAAGCAGAAGGACCATATAACATCTCCAATGATCATGGAAGCATTGTGAAAAGACTTATTGAGCCCATAGCAAATACAGGACGCAACGTCACTATGGATAACTGGTTCTCATCAATTCCAATTGTTGAAGAACTTGAATGAAACTACAAAACTACAGTTGTTGCAACACTAAAAAAAAAAATAAACCACAGATTCCTCCTGAATTTGTCGCCAAAAAGCGAACCGTCTTCAGTACACTTTTTGGATTCACAAAAAGCTATATGCTATGTTCATATGTCCCAAAAAAAATGTTCTTTTGATTTCTAGTATGCACGATACCCATGATATTGATCAGGATACTGGAGAAGCAAAAAAACCTTAAGTGATTTCTTTCTACAATTTGACCAAAGGGGGGAGTAGACGTGGTTGATAAAATAAAGGGAGAATATACTGTGGGGAGGAAAAGTTCGCGTTGGCCATTGACAGTATTTTATGGCCTACTTGACATAGCTGGAATAAACAGCCAGATTATTTTCAAAAATAATACGGAACAAATTGTCACTCGTAGATTTTTTCTGAAGGAACTAATGAAGCAGCTTACTCAACGCTTCGTCTATATGAGAGGGACTATTCCTGTATTATCTCCTTCAATCAAAAGAAAGATTGACAAGATATCTGAAACCAACCCGGATAATCAACAAAATAGTGGAGCAACTAAATGCAGCAAGAGCAGCAGACAGCTTTGTGCCGATTGTCCTCGGAGAAAAAATAGGAAAACAACAATAACATGCACATCATGTAAAATATTTCTTTGTGGTGAGCATACCATTTCCATTTGTTCGAATTGTTATAGAGACTCAAAATCAGCAAAGGAATCAGGTAGCGATTGAAATGTAAAAAAAATGTTTTTGTATATATCCTATTGTTGTTGCTATTATTATTACCATTCATAAATTAAATTTGGAAACACTGATTAGTTTTAGATGTATTTTTATCATTCATTAATACAAAATGAAATCAAGATATTTTTCAATGAAAGTTTACGTATTACATAAGTTTTAAATTATATTTCAGTTTATTTTTAATGAAAAATATACAATGTTTTAACATTTTATTAGTCTCTTAATTGTAACTCCATAAATAAATTAAGAGTAAGTAATAGACTGAATAAGTATTTGCTCAATCGATGGGTTGCGGCGCAGCGCTCACACGCGAGTCGTAACATTCCAACAGTGAACGAGAGCGCTGGAGGGTTAAATACAGAAAATCTGCAAGATACCGAGTGGTGACTATAAGACTTACAGCTTACAAAAGGGAAAGTCTGTATTTCAAACCAAGGTAAACTTGGATAAGGAACAGTGGATCAACATGATACCTTCCCTTACATACGGTATGGAGTTTAAAATACTCCAAAGCTTCAGTACAGTTGTAATGGACCTACTGGATTTAACACGCTGACAGAATGAAGAGAGACAGGCTTCTCAAACTAAGAAAAAGTTACAAACTACATGGTGTAAGAAAATGACATCCTTTAACAAGACTTTTGGATGAATGAATGAGGACAGAACAAGACAAGTGGCCTAATTCCCCAATTATTTGATAATTATGACAACGAGCCTGTCAACCTGTAAGAATTATCTGAACATAAGCAAAAATATAGAGTACAATGATATTCTGTAATACTTTCTTTTATAATTCTAGCATTTCACATTTTGCAACATCTTTCTGGAGAGGAATACAAAATGAAACCTTGTTAGTATTAAAAAAATCCAACAACAACAGCACACAGCGACATAAGGCACATGAAGAAACAGGATTGGAAAGGTGTAAACACGATTCAAAGGTTCTTCATGGCACAGCCAACTGGTGTGACATCAAAGAGTTTCCACTGCCACTGGTAAATGGCAGCATGATAGTTAATGATGTCCCACGTCATAAAGTAAATGCATTGTTCTCCCTTCTGGTTCATATATATTTGCTAATATACATTACCAACTACATCATCATTTAAATTCACTATGTCCTACAATATCATACCAATTGATTTAAATAGACTATATATCAATATTCTGCAACCTCTTTTCACCTGCAGCACACAATAATTTGCGAAAGACATGGCACACCACAAATTGTCCTCACAAAAAAGGGGGTACAAAACTATACATGGTAATAAGTATTTATATACATATAAATACTTGCCCTATAAGAATCCATTCACATGAAAACAAAAAATAACACATGCTGGATAAAACTAACGATGATAAACCAGTCTGTGTATTACAAATTCTAATTATGAAAGATAAAATACTGCCTTTTTGAACTATAATGTGTGAATATGCAATGTCTTACAAAAATTCACAGCATACTTGAAACCTCATCGTGGGGCAGAAGTTTACCGATGTTTCAGAGTTGTTTGCTGCCTCCATCATCAAGGTGATGATCTATCGCAAGCACCTCTAAAACGCTGGTAAACTTCAATCAGACTACGTGGCACAACATCCGAGAAGACAGCCAACATCATTGAATACCTTATTTTTACGTTATTACGAAGCATGTGCAAACAATTGCAAAAATAAATTAATTACAAAAGCAAAACACCTTCCAGTCAGGAATAATATTCATCCAATTAACAAGTGTTACATGCTCAGTTCATATCAAACAGACAATTCATTTCAGTTGATATTCATAGACAAAATAACACTATTTAAATTATATCCCTTTTCAAGTGAACTAACTTGTAACTTTGGAAATTTACGTAATGCCTTTATGGTCCCTTAGAATCACCAGTAACAGTTTTTCTTTATATCAAGTGCATATGTTTTTTTAACCTAACTGGACTTAACCACTGCATGCAGCATCACATTATGACAAACGCGGTCAGACCTACTTACAGTAAACATTAAAACACACAAAGTATTCTTACAGATAGCCGTAAGGTTGCTAAATTCTTGCCATAAATAATCACAAATTATTTTCTGCGGCTTTTGGTGTATACAACACAAATTAACTTTACATCGCACACTTCCTAAGGACAAAAATCAGCAAATGACATTCAAGAACATGGCAAAGTAGCTCATAAATTCACTTACCAGCTTTATAAATGTTGATAACATAATTCCTTAAAGAGAACAGCAATATAAGGCAAACAAAACTGGCCACAGATCACAGCAATCAAGACATATATTTTGCAGGGATTAACAGATTCTAATAAAACATGACCTGTCTATTTACACTAATATATATTTTTTAAATTAAAATATGCTACCTTGCTGTTATTAATTTATGATAAGAGTTTTAAGTAGATAATATAACTCAGAGCATGCATTTTTCTTATTTCTGGAAGCAACATTTCAATGGAAATATTTATATTTTCATCACGTTATCAAGCATGGTTGACATGGTGAAAGTATGAAAGGGAAAAAAGAAATGAGGGGGGAGGGGTTAGGGAATAAAGATATAAGAGAAATCAATTATGTTTGATTTCAGTGGAACTTTTCACAAACTTATCTACAGAAATGAAAAGAAATAATATAAATTCTGTGGCTAATTTTGCTTGCACATATGACATTCACATAACACACTACTCTGTGCAAGTTAAAGCCTGTAAATATTTCCTTTAATAAAACAGAATTAATTCAGAATATTTAAAACTGGCATATCTTATAAATCAATCTGTATTAGTCTCTGCATCATTTAAAGTCATTTATTCACTAATGCAATTTTCATTTATCATTTCTTCCAAAGGACTTGATCTTTATAAAGTAATTTTGTCCTGTAGTCTAGTGACAGGGCATGTTCATATACTTTGTTTCCTCCATGTGTACTTCTAGACCAACTCCCTTACTATCATAAAGACGTGTTTTCATTTATGATATATACATCTTCACACAATAATTATCATCATCAATAAGTAGAGATTGAGGCGTGAGCCTTGTGCTGCTTGGTCGCTGGGACCGTGGGTTCGAATCCCACTCAAGCCATTGATGTTTGTTCGTGTTCGTGTTTTTCTGTGTTGTGCTGTCCTGTGTACAGGTAGAGGCCTTGCGACGGGCCGATCCCTCGTCCAAGGAGTCCTACCGAATGTCGATAGATCAAGGCAACCAGAAAGATGGGACCCGTAAAAGGGTAACGGAAAATGTATAAACACTGTTAAACCGGAAATAGAAATAAAAAGAAGTAGAGATTAGGAGCTTATGTGTCACACTCAATTCCAATCCCACTGTTTACATTTAAATAATTTTGTATAGGCATTATTTTAAAACTAGTATCCACTTCTAATCAGCTTTCCTGAAGTGTGAATATATGTCACTATAATTTTTTTTTTCCAATTTTAGCCTCTCCTCTCCTTACAAAACCCTGCCATAACAATTTCATAGCCCATTTTAAGGCAGAAATATCTGACAACACGCACATATTACGTAAACACAGTCACTTCTGTCAAAATGCTTTATGTGCAGGGTATAAATTGATACTGGGACAGCAGGGAAGTTGAGGCTGGAAATGCAAATCCAATATCTAATTACATCTCTGCTACAAACACTAAATTCTGAATACAATTCTTGGATATTGTGATTGGTGGAGGAAAAGGAAAATCAGATAACAACAGTCAGTTACTCTGTGGCTAATAGAAAAAGAAATGTCCCAAGATGAATAATATAAAAATTGGCTAATTTCATTTTTAAGGTACCGCTTCTAATATAATACACACACAAATTCCAGTACTGAGGTTTCTGCCAAACCAAATACGTAACAGCTGCCCTATAAGAATGTTATCCACAAGCTTTACCTTGCACACTGTGTCTACGACCATTGCAACTTCTACTTTCAACTTTCTACAAAATGATAACATTTGACAACTCACCAAAATTGGCATCTTGACTATTGTTATGCAGTCCTGAGGGTCCAGGTAGCAATCCAGGAATATCTACAACAGAAATTACAACATTTTAACACTTTTTAGACATACGTATTGATCATTCGACTCTGGTCGATTTATTTCAAATTAATCATTCACTTTAAATTAAATATGAAATAAAATGTGTGTCTGAATTGAAACAAACTGAAAATTAAGAGCAGTTCATTAAAGAATAACTTTTTAAGTTAACTTTACACTGTATATCAACTTTGAATAGTACTAACTATTAAGCTTAAACTTTGGAAGTTGGCTTCTATCTTTGATCCAAATATGCAGAGGGAAGTTTATAGCTATCCCACCTTTCGGCAATATAAATCAATATCGATACACTGCGAGCATGTTGGCTCTGTAGTCATATAGTGGACTTGTATGCATGAGGTCATGGGATCTAATCCTGGTCAAGTCAAAATATTGTTTTCTTTCATGCAGCCACCAAGTTATTTTACGTTATATAAAAAACTTTTTATATCAGAATGTTGTATTATCTGAAAATCTGTAACCATACATCATTGTATGACCCCACTGCAAGTAATCCATTCCAAATTTCATCCAAATTTGTCCAGCAGTTCTCAAGTGAAGTCATGTGGACAGACAAGATCAGCCCTAACATGTTCATTTCATGCAAAGGATGCGTAACAAAAATTTCTGAGCTTGGGCAATTCACATCTTACTCCGACGCAGCTGAAGACAAGAGCATCCAAACTACTTGCACACAACAGAAATGTTTATATATACATGGTTCTTACTTTGAAGTCCAAGCAATGCGGCAGCAGGGAAGGGTGGAGTACGTGTTGGATCTAGTCCCAGATTGCCATTGCCATGATGGTGATGGTTGTCATCCACGGAGCTATAATCATTAGGCTCTAACTTGGGTCTAATCAGGTCTCCGATGGGTGGACCGCGTTCTGAGTTTGTATCACTCGAGTTGCTGTCCTCGCCTGTTGACTGGGCTTGTAGTGAAGAGTCTGAGTTGCCTTTGTTCTGTCAAACATAATGTAATGATAACTTGGAAATACTTTCACACACAATGAGTCAGTAGAGAATTTATTCCAAGCAAAATTCATATAAAAATTCTTTTCCAGCACTTCCGAACCTTATCGCTGAAAATAAAAAAGGTTGAAAACTGCATTTCTATTGCATGAAAGAGTTGTCATGGCCAGAATACAATACTAATGTTGTATTCTAATCCCAAATTACAAAATTATAAAGTTCTGACTCTGTGAAAACACTTCATGTCTGACAACGTTTTCGCCAGATTTAAAAGTATACACACATAATGTCTTTGCAAGTTACCTATTAAGACTATGGTTGTGAATTATGCACCATTATTAAATAAGTCCTTTTATATGGCTGACAAACTAGCAATTATATATACATACATTAAGAATTGTTTTAAAAATATTTCATATTCACATGTCACTCTAACGGGTTTTTCATTTGTCTTACCTGATGGGAGGTGCTGCCTGTATGAATTGTTGGTCCTCCCTCTAATGCCTGTCCCAATAACGTCTCTCTCATTAATGGATCACCATTGTTGTTATTGTTAGTTGCAGACGAAGCTGGGGATGGTGAAAAGCGGTGCTCATTGTTTCGGCTTCGTTTTCGAGGTGGTGAAAGAGGATCCTCTGAAAATTGATCTCTCAGCTCCCCTGACTGTGACCAGGGCAGTGAATTTGAGGTCTGAAAACATAAATAACAGAACTTAATGTTCCTGTTCTTGTTACACCAAAGAATAAAATCAAGACAAAACTTTGCAAACTAGTTTCATTATCATCGCAGATCAAGCTATGTTGAAATGCTCAGTGTTATCATTCCATTTTGGTATTTTGAAAAATGCTCAAAATTTGCAAGCTTTGGTCTCTCTCTCCAGAAGCAAGTTTTAACAATGATGGAGGTTTCGATAAGGATTATAAGAATTTTGGCAAATGTCATTATAAACTACAAAAATACAGAGCAGCAGATATGTAAGATCATTACATCAGTACTTATACGTTTTCTTAAACATAACATTCAAATTGTGGAAAAATTTGTTTTACTGGGAAATTACTATTGTCATCATCCATTCCTATCTTCTATAAACATTCAAAACAAAAAAATTAATTTAGGAGCAGCTAAAAAGTGAAACACAATTTAAGAATGAAAGACGCAGGGTCAGCAAATGTCAAGTGTTATGGAAAAAAACCCTGAATGGGAAAACGACATTCCATTTTTATGCAAATAAGAACAGGACGACTGTGCAATGTATCCCAAGAAAAATAAACGAGTGGACATAATCCAGTTTTGAATTTTTAAGCTCCATGTTTAAAAAATTGTGATTACATCTTGGTGTTCACTTTTAAATTTACCATACCAAGGTCAACTACAAAAGCAAAGAGCAATGGAACGAATATGATAGAATCTGTTAACAATATTACAAAAAGAAAAATCACAGTCTTACGGTCCAGTTACTGAGCAAAAACCTGTTTTGTAAACTTCTTAAAACTAAACAGACGAACGGAACATACGTCCCTCACTTAAATGTTGTCTTAATAGTTAATGAAATATCAGATGCACTGGTGGTGATATATATTAAATACACATAAAAGTGAATTAAACCAAAAGTGATGAGTCTCTTATAGAGCATAAACTGAAACATTACTAATGACAAAATTATCTATGATAATGATACAATTCTATTGCGTGCCACTCCAACCAACAACTCCTTTCCAATTCATTCTACCATGACATGACATAGAAATTTCTGCTTACTGTTTCATATTTGCTATTAAAAACCAAAATAATGCTATACTTGGTCATCCATGCTCTCTGCTATATACAATACAATAATAAGGCAATGATTGCTTCATGACACTACTCAAATAGTTGCACAAAATGTCATTACATGTCCACTAAATTCCTTATCTGAAGACCAAACATAACATTATGTACATCGCAACTATTTTGGGAATTTTCCATTGTTCAAGGTATATTTAATGCAGAGTGTTTTCTTCCTCAAATCAATACTTCCATCCCTTTCTGATTACTGTCCAGCAATAGCATAACTTCATCTACACACTATCAGTTAATTCCAATATGAGGAACTAATCGTGATTATAACAGATGCAAATGATAGGAATACATTAATACAGTGTACTATGTATTATGTGCAACTCTCTGTAAATGAACAAATTTAATCAAAATCTTTACAGGAAGTTAGGACAAAACAACCACGTCTTAGTTTTTACAAAGACAGAACTTTGAGTAAAAGTATATGTGCACAAGTGAGCAGATAGCATTCCAAAATCTACTTTATCAGACTCAGTGATACAAAAGATTCCTCCAATAGAATCTCAAAACCAGTTTTTGATGGTCACAATATATCACACATGACATGATATGATTCTACTTTTGTAATTATAATCCTCAAAAGCTGGCCACAGTACTACTGAAAGACAAAAACAGTTGCTTCGTAACTAAATTTCCGTCCATTTATGTCACTTTATTTTTGTAAAGTGACAAACATGAAAATAACATATTATGCTCTACAAATATTTTTACAGATACAATATATAATGGCAACGCAAAGCAACACTATAATGACTTCAGCACACAATAGAGAAGAGTGGTCAGCATCAGGTCACAGCCAAGTTATACCCTGGGGGAAAGCCCCCCTAATACATACTGGGTAGGAGACTCGGGGGCCCCCAAAGCTGGTGTGGGCTACAAGAAAAATCCTTTGCCCCTGCCCAAGATTGAACCCTAGTCATCTAGTATCTAGTCAGACAATATACTGACCGAAGTACCCCAGTTAATTCCTTCCTTGGGGAATGGTCCTTTGAGTCTCCACAATCCCTCTCATATAATTAATTATTTTGTATCGCAGTTTGCAGTATCTGCAGAAAAGTGTCCTCAGCGAGACAATATAAATTATTAACTGAGCTTAGCACCTCCCCCCAAGTCACACAAGGTATCGGTGCACTGCATCACCTGCGTCCATGATAGTTTTTGCCCCATTCTGGGGTGTTCCATCATGTAGTGTGGCAATGTTTCAGAGAAATACTTAGTAGTGCCTCTGTCTTCAGCCCCAAAGATAGAAGCACTATGCTCCTCCAAAACAATAGCACACAGCCAAAATGCTACATGGTACAATAACCCAGAGGACCACCAGTTACATCCTCATCATCATGAAAACTACATACCCTACAATACCACAAATTATTTCATGTAAAAGTCCATGTCAGAACGTATTTTGCAGAATATAGAAAATAATACTGTATACTGGTGACCAAAAAATCAGCTATCAACTTCTTAAAAATTTCTTGATCTCTGATGATACATTTTCCTTCACACAAAACATTCATTTTGTTTCGAAACAAATTTATTCCAAAATAATTAAGTTCACTATGGAATACAATACTCATCTACTGATTCATAAAATTTCTTTTATGGGTAAGGCAATGAGCTCAGATCACATACAATGGCCTCACAGCTAACAGTCCACCATTTCAACTAAATAAATATATCTGAGGCTCAAATTTAATTATCCAATTTCAACATTATCCACAAATGTACCTAAGTATTCAGTGGTAAGAAATCTGCAAACAGAATTTTAACTGCCTTTTAGTACAGTACCAAGTGTGAATACAGAATAAGGTGCCAGTATCTCATCACACCACTAGACATAACCTATAATTACTACTATACTAGCGAAAAAGTGTAAGTTAGGTTAGATTAGATCTATACAGTTCACATTGGTGGTTTTCATCATTTAGTAATATTTATGTAATTGTTGGTGATGTGGTAAAGAAATGACACATCATTTTCTTTTACTGGTGTCAAAACACAACCACTTAAGACCCTCTTAAATATATTGCACTTGAAATAATACATTAATATACTTAACCATTCAATTTTCACACTAACTCTACCAAATATATTAGTAATCCCATATGGAAGAATCTAAACATAATTAAAACTTGAGCCTAATCTTCTTTATAATATGAGTGAAGTATACTCACAGGTGGAATTTTTTGGTTGTCTTTGGTGGGGACATCAGCAAGCCCTCGAACCTGCAGCATTTGCGCTGTTTTCAGGAAGTCAGACAGTTGCTCCTGGCCAATATGAACTTCACCATTGTACATAAAGCGCAGGAGTGATTCCATGTCCTTTTCTCTGACATCGCGCAAAATCACAATAGGATGTTGGCAAGGATTTGCCTTGAGAAGTCTTCGAAAGTATGGACTGCAGGCAGAGAGTACCACCTTGTGGGCAGTGAAGGAACAACCATCACAGGCCAAAGTAACATCCACGAAGTCTTCCTCATCACGTAGATGCCTGAAGGATGAGAGAATGCTGGCATGGAAATCATTCCAGCGCAGACTGTACTGCTGCTCAGGATCTGACACCTCTCCCATCTGGGCCAACAAAAGCTTCACCAAAGCATCGGGTCGTGACGTAGCAATCTTGTTCTCACATACAATCACACCGTGTCGTACAATTTTGTCGAGTAGCTGTCTTATTTCCTGGTCAATATTGTGGTTACTGCACACTTCTATTACTTAACATTATTCTTCCCCCGAGTGTTTCTTCTTTGTCTGGCTCGGCCCCTGTAATATTCAAATTCAACATTATACATATTATTAAATACAACCTCTTAAAAATACCAGATTTTCTTCACTTGTTATTTGAATATCATCGCTATCACATCATTCAGACATATGCATACATTCACACACAGACATACACACTAAAAAATTAATACATTACACATACATCCACACAAACTATAAAATTAAGAGACCACACAAACTATAACATTAATATAATCATAAACACAAAAAGGGCAAATAATAAATTAAGACTGTTCATGAGGTTTACTGCACACATCCAAACATTAATTTTTTTTTAAACATAACAGTAAATAGCCAAACTCATGAAACGATTTTAATCCACTGTCCTCGCTGATTACATATAGCAAGCAACATTGCTGCAAATCTAGTATCTTTAACCTCAAATCACATCTACTACTTTCAGAAACACACGATATTCACTGTAATTTCATTCTGTTTATATCACGGTCAAATGTAACTTAAAAGGTCTACCACGAAAATGAAACTAATTAAACACAGTACATTAATATGTGAATCAACTAATTTTAGTACTTAAGATATTTCTAAACACAATCTTTAAATCGCAAAGCTGTCTTAATACATAATCTACACAACTTGTAGCTCGTTATTTCACCTTCGACGAACGTATGAAAACCTTTTAAAAACGTTCATTTACAAATAACTTTTTGCTAGGACAATAAAAGAACATCAATAACACCAATAATCTCGATGAAATGACACTGATGACATGATACCGACTACTTCTCCCAATGTCAAGTGTAACACAGCTAAAATGCCCAATCGTCAAAACTCGAGCAAAACGATTACAAAAAGTTAATTTATTCTACGACTATGATAAATGCTTATTTGGCACCATTCTTTCAAAACTCCATGCTTTTCTCCACCAGGCACCGCAATCTGCCATTCATTTCTCTCGCGGCAAATAAACGTAAAAAATATCACAAACATTTTGAAAAACAAATACATAATGTTTATAAGACTAAAAAAATTGCAAACAATGAATGAAAGAAACACTTCTGTCCATTTGTATCACTCAAAGTACCCCGAGATCACAATACACCGACCTTCTCTCAAGCAACGACCTTCCAAGTACGACGCCTACTAGCTTATGACCCGGTAGGTTCACTTAGCCATCATGGCTGCAAAGAAAACTTCAAAGCGCACAAAAAAAGCGGCCATATTCACGAACATGAATTGCATTGAGATGCTTTAAAAATATATTACAACAACACACCGGAATAGCACACTCTAACAGAATGATGTAAAGACATTGCTAAGTCGTGATTCCCACCTGATTTCAGGAATACAACCCAAGCTATGTACCCGTAGTGTCTCCGCGCTTTTGCGCACGGCTGCTCTGCCTAGCCTGCCAACCCGATTGATGCCCGATAGGCCTAACCACCATCGCGGTCATGAAACACACGCTGAATTTAACACGCTAATACCTCATCACGTACAGGCTTCGGCCAGCGTTCGTACTCTCAGTATTCACCATGCATATAAAACTAGGCGTTATGCAGCAAATATGCCGTTTGCACAATTAAATAAGTACAAAAACAAAGTCATAAATCATACCTGTTCCCATTCTCAAAGCAACAAAAGATCAATCAACAAGCTGAAAGCGGGATTAGTAGATCCCTTCCGGTTCTCCCTGTTCGCGCGCGGAAAGTATGAAAATAGTGCCGCTCCAAGACGTCCATCACTAAAACCGTTTCAGAAAAATTATTTAAAATGCCAACATTCCTGAAAATATACGTCTTACAATAATTGTTATTGTAATCTAATCTTACTTTAAGAAAGTACGTTTTACTGAAAGGCAGTTCACTTTAAACTTTAAATATATCATTACATGATAATATAAAGTGAAGGAAGTAATCTGAATGTGTATCTTTAAAGAAAATTTTGTATGAATGAATAACGACCATTTATATATTTATTTATTTTAAACGAGTTTCAACCAACATTCTTGTCAATATTGTATAAAAGTAATCGATATTAAGCACTAAGGCAACATACAGAGAGCACTTTCACTCAGCTG